CAAGCCTGTGTTTGCCAGACATCTCAACAGAGGGCCTTTCAGCATAATATGCGCTGTCTATCTCAACCACACTGAACTGCGTAGCACTGACATTGAATCACCTTGTGAAGCACTACATGGCTTAAGAAGGCTCAATAAAACTGATGCCTGAAGTAAAACAAAATACCAACCACGGAAACTCGATCTAAATTTCTACAACCAGAAAAGTACTAGAGGAGATATGATCGCAACATACAACATACCGAGGGGAATAGAGGGAGGATAACATACAACATAATGACTCACACACACACACCAAACAAGCCCCCCCAAACACACACACCAAACAAGCCCCCCCAAACACACACCAAACAAGCCCCCCCCAAACACACACCAAACAAGCCCCCCCCAAACACACACCAAACAAGCCCCCCCCCAAACACACACCAAACAAGCCCCCCCCCAAACACACCAAACAAGCCCCCCCAAACACACACCAAACAAGCCCCCCCAACACACACACACCAAACAAGCCCCCCCAACACACACACACCAAACAAGCCCCCCCAACACACACACACCAAACAAGCCCCCCCAACACACACACACCAAACAAGCCCCCCCAACACACACACACCAAACAAGCCCCCCCAACACACACACCAAACAAGCCCCCCAAACACACACACACCAAACAAGCCCCCCCCAACCACACACACACCAAACAAGCTTCCCCCCCAAACACACACACCAAACAAGCCCCCCCCAAACACACACACACACACCAAACAAGCCCCCCCCAAACACACACATACCAAACAAGCCACCCCGAAACACACACATACTAAACAAGCCCCCCCCCCCAAACACACACACACCAAACAAGCCACCCCCAAACAAGCCCCCCCAAACAAGCCCCCCCAAACACACACACCAAACAAGCCCCCCCCAAACACACACCAAACAAGCCCCCCCAAACACACACCAAACAAGCCCCCCCCAAACACACACCAAACAAGCCCCCCCCAAACACACACCAAACAAGCCCCCCCCCAAACACACACCAAACAAGCCCCCCCCCAAACACACACCAAACAAGCCCCCCCCCAAACACACACCAAACAAGCCCCCCCAACACACACACCAAACAAGCCCCCCCAACACACACACACCAAACAAGCCCCCCCAACACACACACACCAAACAAGCCCCCCCAACACACACACACCAAACAAGCCCCCCCAACACACACACCAAACAAGCCCCCCAAACACACACACACCAAACAAGCCCCCCCCCAACCACACACACACCAAACAAGCTTCCCCCCCAAACACACACACCAAACAAGCCCCCCCCAAACACACACACACACACCAAACAAGCCCCCCCCAAACACACACATACCAACAAGCCACCCCGAAACACACACATACTAAACAAGCCCCCCCCCCCAAACACACACACACCAAACAAGCCACCCCCAAACAAGCCCCCCCAAACAAGCCCCCCCAAACACACACACCAAACAAGCCTCCCCCCACACACACCAAACAAGCCCCCCCCCAAACACACACACACACCAAACAAGCTCTCCCCCAAACATGCACATACACACCAAACAAGCCCCCCCACACACACACACCAAACAAGCCCCCCCCCAAACACACACACCAAACAAGCCCCCCCTAACACACACCAAACAAGCCCCCCCCCAAACACACACACCAAACAAGCTTCCCCCCAAACAAGCTTTTCCCCAAACACACACACCAAACAAGCCCCCCCCCAACCACACACACACCAAACAAGCTTCCCCCCAAACACACACACCAAACAAGCCCCCCCAACCACACACACACCAAACAAGCTTCCCCCCCCAAACACACACACCAAACAAGCCCCCCCCCCAACCACACACACACCAAACAAGCTTCCCCCCCAAACACACACACCAAACAAGCCTCCCCCCAACCACACACACACCAAACAAGCTTCCCCCCCCAAACACACACACCAAACAAGCCTCCCCCAAACACCAAACAAGCCCCCCCCCAACCACACACACACCAAACAAGCTTCCCCCCCAAACACACACACCAAACAAGCCTCCCCCCAAACACCAAACAAGCCCCCCCCAACCACACACACACCAAACAAGCTTCCCCCCCCAAACAAGCCTCCCCCCAAACACCAAACAAGCCCCCCCCAACCACACACACACCAAACAAGCTTCCCCCCAACACACACACCAAACAAGCCTCCCCCAAACACCAAACAAGCCCCCCCCCAAACACACACACCAAACAAGCCCCCCCCCAACCACACACACACCAAACAAGCTTCCCCCCAACACACACACCAAACAAGCCTCCCCCCAAACACCAAACAAGCCCCCCCCCCAAACACACACACCAAAAATGCAGGTGTTTTCCCTCAGCTCGGCGTTTACCTCGTTGGAAAAAGTAATAAAAAAAACATTAAAACTTCATCAGTGAGGCTCATCGCTCAGTGCACGCCAGGAGCCTCGCTGGTCTCTTTACTCGTCGCCTTCACGCCACAATAATGCTACTTTTATTTACACAGTTCACTTTCATTTACGACTGTAAACCATTTACAGTATTGACCATAAAAGAAAGTTCAATTTCATGTACGACTGCTAAAAATGTTCAATATTGATCGAGGAAGGCGATCACATAACCCAACCCACACATGACAAGATATGAAATTAAAAGTTTGGGCCCAACCTGAACCCTTATCAGGCCCTGAACCTTATCAAGTCCTGACATTACACGATAAGGACCCAGGAAGGTCCAAGACGTCCAGGTCTTGTCATATGTGTGTGGGTTAAGTCGGTTATTTCAGCCCCGGTATTGTGACTCGTGGTTTTCAAAGGTAATCACATTAAGATAGAACCAGTTACGTTTCATTCACGACTGGTTGTGCAACATTTAGAGCAGTTATCAACGAGTTAGGTTTATCTTGAGAAAATGTTCGGAGCAGGACAGTTATCTAACAGCGTCCTGGGATATCCCACACACACACTCACACCTTAACCCATGGACCACGATGTGCTAAAGTTTACACAACCTAGAAGTTGGGCGAACCTACAAGGTACCTTGATGCCCCGAGCTGGTAGCTAGTCCAAGTTTTACACGTCGCCCGCAAACACACACACTGGTGTAGGTAATGAAATTCTCCACCTGCTTGATGGGATTCTGGGAGTTCTTCTACTCCCCAAGCCCGGCTCAGGGCCAGGCTTGACTTGTGAGAGTTTGGTCCACCAGGCTTGGACCAAGCGGGCTTGGAGTGGCCCGCAGACCCACATATTAGAGAGCAGCCTGGTTGGTCCGGTACTCCTTGAAGAAAACTAGATAGTTTTCTCTTGAAAACGTCCACGGTTGTTCCGGCAATATTTCTTATACTCGCTGGAAGTATGTTGAAACAACCGTGGGCCTCTGATGTTTATACATATTAGTAGTAGGCATTCGTCTGTCCCGTGGGGTTATGGAGTTGTGGCCTCTGTGTCTGGTTGGGTGCAGACACCGTCTGCTGTGGCTGTGAAGGTCAACCCGGGAACGGCTGACCCGGTCGCAGCGAGTGCAGATAAACGCCGAAGCGATTGTGTCCGTCAAGGGTCGAGACTTCCTCTTCCTCCGCCTGCCTCTTCAGTTCATCCTCGAATTATTGAAGTCCCTTCCGCACTTTGCATCTCTAGGCAGATCTGTCCGCAGCTGCTGCCTTCCAAGTGGTGATGTCGATGTTCAGCTGCTTGAGGTCGCGTTTGCAGGCGTCTTTGAAAAGCAGCAAGTCTTGAAAAGTCTTCCGGTGGGTCGCTTTCCTGATGCCAGTTCTCAATATAAGAGGTCGTTCGGTATGCGGCCATCTTCCATGCGTGTGACATGTCCCAGCCATCGCATGCGTCTCTGCTTCAGGAAAGTGAACACTGAAGGGATTCTTGTTGTCTCTCGAGCACTGCATTGTTGGTGACGTGTTCTCTCCACGTGATGTTACGGATGCGTCTCAGGTTCCTCATGTGAAAGGTATCGAGCCATCTCTCCTGGCGAGAGCGCGGGGTCAGGAATTCCGAGCCGTAGAGATGTGTACTCACCACACATGCCGTGTAGACCTCTGCCTTGATGTGTATTGCCAGAGTGACAATTGTCCAAACGCGCTTTATGAGCCTGGCCAGTGTTATTGAGGCCTTCCCAATACGCCTGTTGAGCTCAGTGTCCAGGGAAAGGGTGTCTGAGATTATGGAGCCCAGGTACACAGACTCGTGGACCACCTTCAGCTCGCTGTCTGTGATGTTTATACAGGGTAGCTCATTGACGTCTTGTCCCATCACCTGTGTCTTCTTCAGGCCGATTGTCAAGCCGAATGCGGAGCAGGCTGCGGCCAAGCGGTCGAGTATGGTTCAGATCTTGTAAGGAGGTAAATGCCCTGTGTGGTATTCGATTGTGCATATGGCACCCCTGCTTTTCACTGGTTCTATTCTGTATTTTCTTCCATATCGTTCACTCCAGTAAGACACTATCAAACACTCTTGGGACCTGAGGTGACCCAGGACGCTGGTTCCTACCCCCCGGTTCTGCCCCAGTCTCTCTATAAATATATCACATTATTGTGATTTCATTGTGAATAAGGTTTGTCACATTTACCATGAAGTAGTCCTGTAGATTACCTGTGCACGATTTCGAAAGGGCGCCTTATCGTACTTGCAAGCTCGCATTACCGAGCTGTAGATAGGCCGCCTTAGTGTCTTCCTGTCTAACCCAGTTGTTGCTGGTGGCAGCTCAAAGACCCTGTATTCATGACAACCTGACTGATCAGGAGCTCTCTAGAAGAATAAAGCTTATCGAGCCAGCGAGCAATACTTCTCTTTCACTCTTTCTCGAAGGTAAAAACAAAAACAAAAGAGATATCCAAAAAGTCCACGACAAAAAACACTTGAGATATTTCTATCCAAAAACTCTTAGGCTGGAAAAGAATGGTGAATAGAGAATAACTTTGTTACTCACAGGATGCGCAGCTGTGAGAGGCCAGCCAGGTCTGTGTAGTACACTGCTGTCAACTCATTGCCCTGGAGATCCCTGGAAAACAAAAAAACACACACAGATTAATATTTATCCGTGCACGTTATCATAGGTCATTACATACAGTCTTAAAAGTTATCATTAGCAGCAACACATAAACTGTATTATCACTAATAATACAAATATTATTACAGATTCCTTCCCAAATGAATAATTAATATGTATGTCAGTAAAGCTTCCCCCTCCTACCATGCCTCCACTACCATGCCTCCACTACCATGCCTCCACTACCATGCCTCCACTACCATGCCTCCACTACCATGCCTCCACTCGCCACAACACCCAACAGTTGCTCTACGGAACATATTAATGGAACATTAAGTAGACAGACATAAAAGTTTGTCAGCGCTAGCGTAGTTGACTCGTCTAATTAGACATTTCCAGGTGTACTTAACTATTCTTTATTATTTGTCGAAGTGATTGTTTTGAGGTACACATTTGGAGGCTAGGCTGTGTATTTCTCTTGTCTGGCAGAGGCGAGATTCTCAGTTACAAGTTATTATATACAATATTCTTGCCAAGTTATGAACATTTTAATTACTCTGCCTATAACTAATTTGGTGAGGAACTCTGAATTTTGTGATTGTTCCTGGATCAATTATAAATGTGTAATGTCAGTGTTGGTGACACTGATCGCTATTACTCATTAATTACTGACCGAATGATTAATGCTACACATTGTTTTCATTAATATTCACAAAAGTGTACTTAATCAATGTTAATATTTGACAAACATACAAACTTTAGTCTCTGACAAATAGTTTCACAGTGAAGCAGCCTAATATGGAGGTTTCAGTGTTAGTGTTAAATTCTCTCATTTTTCGGAGAGAACTTCTCTCTCTCCCTTTTAATTTTTACTTTCAACACTAGACTTGTGTTAGTAACTTATAAACTTAATTTGTGTAATATGATCATTCCTCTGCTATTCCAAGGCTAGACTATAATAGATTTTACAGAGCAGGTGCGTCTATAGTTATCTAGCTGTGATAGGTACGACCTGAGAGAGTGCACTCACGACCTGGCCCCGAGGTCGTCGTATAATGTCTACCTATACTTCTCCACGAGCCAAACAATTACCACATCTTACAACAATTTAGCCAAGAACACTTCCTCATAAACATGTCACAAAGATGTACAGTGATGAATGCTCTCTAGAGAGCTGTACACAGTGATGAATGCCCTATAGAGAGCTGTACACAGTGATGAATGCCCTATAGAGAGCTGTACACAGTGATGAATGCCCTATAGAGAGCTGTACACAGTGATGAATGCCCTATAGAGTGATGTACACAGTGATGAATGCCCTATAGAGAGCTGTACACAGTGATGAATGCCCTATAGAGAGCTGTACACAGTGATGAATGCCCTATAGAGAGCTGTACACAGTGATGAATGCCCTATAGAGAGCTGTACCTTGTTTCCAGTGAAGTATCGCTGTGCCAGAGTACATCTTCATATATACTTTACCACTACAGATATTTGGATGTTAACATCCAACTGAAGTGGATAGTGAAGCATCAGGAGAGAAAAAAATGTAAAAATAGTTTAGACGAGTACCCATTATCTAGTCTCTCGTTCTTGATCCTATGTATAGTAATCATCTTTCCTATTGTCGTACTGATTATTTATACACCATGCTTTAACATAGATCTTATACAATGTTTATAAAACTATATTAATAACTATGATAGTTTAATCAGGGCTGCATTCGGCTCGCTTTCCAATATAAAAGGAAATTATATATAATATAAAAAAGTTATAAATAAAATATAAATAAAACTTATAAATAAAAATAAAGTTATAAATATAAATAAAATAGTATTATATATATAAATAAAAAAATATAAATATCTTAAAATATTATACCAAATTTCATAATGGAGCAAGACTTAAAAAATGACTCAAGTACAAGAAAAAACTAATTTAGTAGTTTATACCACGATAATAACTACCGAATACCTGGAACATAAAAGGAATATTTATATATAAATGATACGCCTTCATAATTAATCATTCTTAAATACAGCCACGTTAAATTCTTCCCCAAAATGATAAAGTTAATTAATCCAACAGGGCACAACCCCCAGAGTTATCAAAGGAAAAAAGTAACTTCACATTAAAACGTTAATTGAAGTTTAGGTATAATAATCGCTAAAAAATATATAGATTGGAAGGACTTTATTTTAGTAGCATCCACTGGCTACCATAATAAATGAAAGTAAAGGAGTATTAGTAAAGGTGCTAACTTGCCTTCTATCCTTATTCAGAATAGCGTTAAGGCCTGGCGCTGTTAACTTGGTGGACCAGGTATGACCAAGCTTGTGTGTGTGTGTGTGGTTAAGTTGGGTGCTGTTCACCACCTTATGATACAGTAGATGCCGTAACCAAAGGTGAGTTTGGGTGGCGTCGTGTGAGGGTGTAAACAAGGCAGCAGTGAGGATGACAGGTGCTGACAGACCCAGTCCCGTAGATGACAGGTGCTGACAGACCCAGCCCCGTAGATGACAGGTGCTGACAGACCCAGCCCCGTAGATGATAGGTGCTGACAGACCCAGCCCCGTAGATGACAGGTGCTGACAGACCCAGCCCCGTAGATGACAGGTGCTGACAGACTCAGCCTCGTAGATGACAGGTGCTGACAGACTCAGCCTCGTAGATGACAGGTGCTGACAGACCCAGCCCCGTAGATGACAGGTGCTGACAGACCCAGCCCCGTAGATGACAGGTGCTGACAGACCACACCACACCACCACAACTGTCCCTCACTGCTCGTGTACCTCTCAAGTCAAGGCAGGTAGAGGGCGCGCGGACACGGCAGTTTCAACAACCAGTTTTAAATAGTTTGATAGTTGGACGGAGAAGTAAGGCCAATTATCATCTTAATTAGTAACTTTATATTATAATTTAAGTCTCTCCAACCTGTATATTTTTTAATGGAGGCGAGGTATTCAGATTGTCTGTACATCAGTGTGAACTTCATTATAGATTGTTAATTAGGCTTCTCAATCACAGTTATCCAGAGCATTACTGAAGAGTAAAGTGTATTACTGACAGCTCACAGTACTGTGACACACACACAGTACTGTGAAACACACACACACACACAGTACTGTGAAGCACACACACACAGTACTGTGAAACACACACACACAGTACTGTGAAACACACACAGTACAGTGAAACACACACAGTACTGTGAAACACACACACAGTACTGTGAAGCACACACAGTACTGTGACACACACACAGTAATGTGAAACACACACACAGTACTGTGAAACACACACACACAGTACTGTGAAACACACACACAGTACAGTGAAACACACACACAGTACAGTGAAACACACACAGTACTGTGAAACACACACAGTGCAGTGAAACACACACAGTACTGCGAAACACACGCAGTACTGTGAAACACACACACGGTACTGTGAAACACACAGTACTGTGAAACACACACACAGTACTGTGAAACACACACAGTACTATGAAACACACACGCAGTACTATGAAACACACACAGTACTATGAAACACACACACAGTACTGTGAAACACACACACAGTACTGTGAAACACACACACAGTACTGTGAAACACACACAGTACTATGAAACACACACGCAGTACTATGAAACACACAGTACTGTGAAACACACACACAGTACTGTGAAACACACACAGTACTATGAAACACACACGCAGTACTATGAAACACACACAGTACTATGAAACACACACACAGTACTGTGAAACACACACACAGTACTGTGAAACACACACACAGTACTGTGAAACACACACAGTACTATGAAACACACACGCAGTACTATGAAACACACACAGTACTGTGAAACACACACACAGTACTGTGAAACACACACACACAGTACTGTGAAACACACACACAGTACAGTGAAACACACACACGCAGTACTATGAAACACACACATAGTACTGTGAAACACACACACAATACTGTGAAACACACACTGTAACGTGAAACACACAGTGCTGTGAAAAACACACAGTACTGTGAAGCACACACGCAGTACTGTGAAACACACACAGTACTGTGAAGCACACACGCAGTACTGTGAAACACACACAATACTGTGAAACACACACAGTACTGTGAAACACACACGCAGTACTGTGAAACACACACAGTACTGTGAAACACACACAGTACTGTGAAATACACACAGTACTGTGAAACACACACAGTATTGTTAAGCACACACAGTACAGTGAAACACACAGTACTGTGAAACACAGAGTACTGTGAAACACACACGCAGTACTGTGAAACACACACACAGTACTGTGAAACACACACAGTACCGTGAAACACACACTGTACTGTGAAACACGCAGTACAGTGCAACACACAGTACTGTGAAACACGCTGTACAGTGCAACACACAGTACTGTGAAACACAGGCATCGTCTGGAGCCAGTAACCAATCCTTCGACACTTGGTGTAAATAATGATGGCGGACGCTGGTCAACTGTGAACACTCCACACTCACAGCTACGGTGACACACTGGCGTGCACAGTCACCGTGACTCACTACACTGAACCATTCACCGTCTCCACCCCTCACACACCCTTAAGGTCAACATTACACCAGATAATTACAACAATCAGGAGTCATCCATTCACAACCCGTCCATTGAAAGGTCGGCCAACACCTTGTTTTTTTCCACAGAAAAAAACTATGTGCAACTGAGGGAAAAAAAAAAAAAAAATATATATATATATATATATATATATATATATATATATATATATATATATATATATATGTCGTACCTAGTAGCCAGAACGCACTTCTCAGCCTACTATGCAAGGCACGATTTGCCTAATAAGCCACGTTTTCATGAATTAATTGTTTTTCGACTACCTTACCTACCTAACCTAACCTAACCTAGCTTTTTAGGCTACCTAACCTAACCTAACCTATAAAAATAGGTTAGGTTAGGTTAGGTAGGGTTGGTTAGGTTCGGTCATATTTCTACGTTAATTTTAACTCCAATAAAAAAAATTGACCTCATACATAATGAAATGAGTAGCTTTATCATTTCATAAGAAAAAAATTAGAGAAAATATGTTAATTCAGGAAAACTTGGCTTATTAGGCAAATCGGGCCTTGTATAGTAGGCCGAGAAGTGCGTTCTGGCTACTAGGTACGACATATATATATATATATATATATATATATATATATATATATATATATATATATATAATATATATATACTGTATATCCATAAATTCCATATATCCATAATATATACATATATACACTGTATATCCATAAATTCCCTTAGGAATGGACCAATAGGAGCTGCCTCGTACGAACCAATAGGAGCTGCTTCGAATGGGCCAATAGGAGCTGCCTCGTATCGACCAATAGGAGCTGCCTCGTATCGACCAATAAGAGCTGCCTCGTATCGACCAATAGGAGAAGAAGGGAATTATCAGGGAGAAAGCGCCACGCCATCACGACTATATAGCACTGGGAAGGGGTCAGGATAAGGGTTTGGGATGGGACGGGGGGAAGGAATGGTGCCCAACCACTTGGGCACCATTCCACTTGGTCGGGGATTGAACGCCGACCTGCATGAAGCGAGACCGCGCTCTTCCGTCCAGCCCAAGTGGTTGGACTCGACCAATAGGAGCCGCCTCGTATAGACCAATAGCAGCTACCTCCTATGGACCAATAGGAGCTACCTCCTACGGACCAATAGGAGCTACCTCCTACGGACCAATAGGAGCTACCTCCTATTGACCAATAGGAGCTACCTCCTACGGACCAATAGGAGCTACCTCCTACGGACCAATAGGAGCTACCTCCTATGGACCAATAGGAACTACCTCCTATGGACCAATAGGAGCTACCTCCTTCGGACCAATAGGAACTACCTCCTATGGTCCAATAGGAGCTACCTCCTATGGACCAATAAGAGCTACCTCCTACGGACCAATAGGAACTACCTCCTACGGACCAATAGGAGCTACCTCCTATTGACCAATAGGAGCTACCTCCTATGGACCAATAGGAACTACCTCCTATGGACCAATAGGATCTACCTCCTACGGACCAATAGGAGCTACCTCCTATGGACCAATAGGAGCTACCTCCTATGGACCAATAGGAACTACCTCCTATTGACCAATAGGAGCTACCTCCTATGGACCAATAGGAACTACCTCCTATGGACCAATAGGAGCTACCTCCTATGGACCAATAGGAACTACCTCCTATGGACCAATAGGAGCTACCTCCTATGGACCAATAGGAACTACCTCCTATGGACCAAGGTATATATGGACTCTTGCGTCCATTACTCTTGCGTCCTCATGAGACCGTAACCTACCTGAGACGTTTATACCTGTCGTTATTCCTATAACTGGACCTTGACACCTGGCGTGAAGCGAGCAGTGACAGGCGTCCTCCCACTCGGGTCCACCCCTCACCTTGTGGGCGGGACATATTGCAACAGGGGCAAAAAAAATAAATGCGCTGTCAAAAGATCAGGAGATGACACCTGCCAGATCCAATTAGCGTTGCAGGCTGGGAGGGTCGGGGGGGGGGGGGGGGGGGGGGGGGGGGGGGGGGGGGGGGGGGGGGGGGAAGGGGGGGGGACGGGGGGGGGGGGGGGGGGAGGGGGGGGTGCCAAAAATAGGGAACGTGGACGAAGAACACAAATAGGGAAATGAGATATAAATAAAGATAACGTGGTCAGGGGACAAAGGACACGGAGTATTAAATATAAACTAGTAACTATAGCAAAGCAAAGAAAACAGTAACAAGACATAGAAAACGGTAACAAGACATACAAAAACAGTAACAAGACATAGAAAACGGTAACAAGACTTACAAAAACAGTACAAAGTAGTATTAAAGAGTAACAAAACACAGAAAACGGCAACAAGCCGCAGAAAACGGAAGCTGTAGCGCATGCGCGGGAGGGTGACCCGCCGCCCGACAGAGGAGCCTCGACCTGGGAATGTGAGGGTCAGTCCGCCCTGGGTGGCGGCCGCCATTGTTGTCTCCCGTGATGAATGGCCCACTGATTCCCTCCCAACCTTTATTATCGTCGTATTTGCATCCCCATTCATTAGGTCAGGTAGTAAGGGATGAGAGGAGACACGAGGAGAGAATATTGGAAGACGTAAAAAGTGAGAGCAAACAGAGAGGAGAAGACAAAGGAGAAACAAGGAGAATAAGGAACAAGGAATGAAAGGCAAGGAGGTGGTGGGAGAGAGAAGCTTTACACAAGGTAGTCACGTCACACATAATTGCTTACATCACACCAAACTTGTCCCCGGCAACACTGGGTGCAAGCCTCCAGCCTGTGTTGGTAACACTTGAAGCCTAACACCACATCAATTATTAATTAAAAGACTAAGAGCAAAGGGGGGGGGGGACTTATCAAATATTTCAAGGCAATATAGCTTCATGGTGTAGTCTCCAAATGCAGGTAGAGAGGTTTACCTGGAGGTTACCTGGAGGTTACCTTGGTTACCTTACCTTGAGGGGATTTCTGTAACCCATAGAGAGACATGATTTACATCTGATTGGAGGTTTGCCGTGTCCTCTATGTTGTCTACTCTAATAAAAATCCTAGTGTCATCTGCAAAGAATGATACAGTGCTATAGGTTGTGTTCTGGTCTATGTCCGATATGAGGATGAGAAAAAGTACTGGAGCAAGCACAGTACCCTGGGGGACTGAGCTCTTCACGTTTGATGGACCGGATTTGATTTTGTTGACTATTACACATTGGGTTCTGTTAGTCAGGAAATTGTAGATCTATCTGCCTACTTTTCCGGTAATTCCATTTGAAACTGTGACAGGCAAGAGCGCCTGGTTCTGAAACCATGTTGTCCGGAGTTATGGAGATGCTGTGATTCCATGTATTTTGTGATCTTATTTCTTATCACTCTCTCAAAGATTTTTATAATTTAGTGCTATGGGTCTGTAATTTTTGCCTCTGCCTTATTTCCTCCTTTATGGATTGGTGCTATCTCTGCTATTTTTAGTATGTCAGGGATAACGCCAGTATCTAGGCTTTGTCTCCACAGAATGTGGAGGGCCTGCGATAGTGGTTTTTTACAGTTCTTGATGAATATGGAGTTCCAATAATCCGGGCCTGGTGCAGTGCATACGCATACTGTTTATGGCTTCTTCAAAATCTAGTGGGGATAGAGTGACATCTGGTATATGATTTGATGTTTGTCTCATATCCATGAAAAATTTCTTTGGGTTATCAATCTTCAGTGTGTTTAGTGGCTCGCTGAAAACAGTCGTTCTGATTCCTCAGTATTTCGCTCATTTCTTTGTTGTCATCAGTGAAAGTTCCATCTCCCTTTCGCAGGGGCCCGATACTAGATGTGGTTTTTGATCTTGATTTTGCATAGGAGAAAAAAAAATTCGGATTTCTCTCTATTTCACTGATGGCCTTTTGTTCTCTTTACCTCTCCTGGGTTTTGTATGATTCTTGTAGCTTTAGTTCAACTGTTTCTACTTCTCTGCCTAACCTTCTTCGCCGTTCTTGAGATAGGGTGAGACTCTCAAGTTGTTCCGCGATTCGTTTTCTTCGCCTATATAGGGAACGACGTTCCCGTTCCAATCTGCATCTCTACCTCTTCTTTCTTAGGGGTATGCGGTTTGAGCATATTTCTAGTGCTACTGAGCTTATTTTTTCCAGGCACTGATTCAGGTTTGCATTTTCTAGCTGTTCTTCCCAGTTTATTTCTGTGAAGTCTTTGTTTATTTGCTCCCAGTTTAACTGTTTATTATTGAAGTTGAGTTTGCTGAAATTTCCTCCACCGGGAATCGGGACTGGTTTTGAAGGTCTATTCCCCCATGCTTGCCAGAACTTCAATTAAGTTATGGTTTGAGTAACAGGTATTTGTAATCATTATGTTCCTGATATGTTCCCATTATATCAGTTCAGTTAACATTATGTTACCTAGAGATAGTTCCAAGAGATCTGCTTACCAAAACCAGCCTGACTGACTGACCAGCCTGGGTGCCTGACAGCTGGGTGGACAGCGCTTCGGATTCGTAGTCCTGAGGTTCTGGGTTCGATCCCCGGTGAAGGCGGAGACAAATAGGCAAAATGTTTCTTTCACCCAGATGCCCCTGTTACCTAGCAGTGAACAGGTACCTGGGAGTTAGACAGCTGCTACGGGCTGCTTCCTACAGGGGGGAGGCCTGGTCGAGGACGACTAAAGCCCCAAAATCATCTCAAGATACCGTCAAGAAGAAGCCTGGGGCCGCGCTGATCTGTGATATGGCATTTTAGTAAAAAAAAATCAATTGTGAGGGAGAAATTCTTTACTTAATCCCCCCCCCTGCAACACCCTGCAAGCTCCCCCCCCCCCTGCAACACCCTGCAAGCTCCCCCCCCCCGCTGCAACAGTCGTAAAGTGATCAGGTTTAAGGCTGCAGCAACACTTGACAAACTTGCCCAACTTCAGGTCGTAAATAAGCAATGTAATTATTTAGCCCAGGAACAAGCTTTTTGTAATTCAGTTGTTACAATGTGCTTGTCTACAGCTTTAGCTGGAGGGGGGGGGGGACCTGACGCCTGGCACTCCTGGCCACGATGACTGGCACTCCTGGCCACGATGACTGGCACTCCTGGCCACGATGACTGGCACTCCTGGCCACGATGCCTGGCACTCCTGGCCACGATGACTGGCACTCCTGGCCACGATGACTGGCACTCCTGGCCACGATGACTGGCACTCCTGGCCACGATGACTGGCACTCCTGGCCACGATGACTGGCACTCCTGGCCACGATGACTGGCACTCCTGGCCACGATGACTGGCACTCCTGGCCACGATGACTGGCACTTATGGCCACGATGCCTGGCACTTCTGCTTTAATCACTAGTGCCGAGATTAACAAAGGACGGAGGTGGCACCAATCATGGTATATGCACCAGCGGCACTTGTTCCTTCCCTGCCACTTGCATACACCCTCACACCCTGGCACTGCCCCCTCACACCCTGGCACTGCCCCCTCACACCCTGGCACTGCCCCCTCACACCCTGGCACTGCCCACACACTAAATCCTCACACACACACTGGCACTGCCCCACACACACCCTGGTTCTGCCCCACACACACCCTGGCACTGCCCACACACCACCCACACACCCACCCTGGCAGTGCCCCACACACCACCCACACACACACTCTGGCACTGCCCTACACACACAACCCTGGCACTGCCCCCCACACACCCTGGCACTGCCCACACACCACCCACACACACAACCCTGGCACTGCCCCACACACACCCTGGCACTGCCCACACACCACCCACACACACAACCCTGGCACTGCCCCACACACACCCTGGCACTGCTCCACACACACCCTGGCACTGCCCCACACACACCCTGGCACTGCTCCACACACACCCTGGCACTGCCCACACACCACCCTGGCACTGCTCCACACACACCCTGGCACTTCCTCCTCAAAGCGATGACCACGCTCTAAGCTGCATTAATTACCAACACTAATTAGCACTAGTGACGACATCTACACCGCAGACCCCCATTAACCCCCCCTCCCCCTTTCTCCTTCCCCCCTCCCCTACCTCCTGCCCACCTCCTCCCCCCTCTCGTCTTACCCTCCTTCCCACCTCCCCCCCCCCCGCCCGCCCGGCAGAGCCAGAGAATTATACCTTTTGTCTCACTAATTCCCATAGTTGGCACCAGGGGAGGGAGGGGGGTTGTGGGGGTGGCTACAAGAGGGGGTAGGAACCTGGGGTGATGGTTGAGGGACCTGGGGTGATGGTTGAGGGACCTGGGGTGATGGTTGAGGGTCCTGGGGTGATGGTTGAGGGACCTGGGGTGATGGTTGAGGGACCTGGGGTGATGGTTGAGGGTCCTGGGGTGATGGTTGAGGGACCTGGGGTGATGGTTGAGGGACCTGGGGTGGTGGTTGAGGGACCTGGGGTGATGGTTGAGGGACCTGGGGTGATGGATGAGGGACCTGGGGTGATGGTTGAGGGACCTGGGGTGATGGTTGAGGGACCTGGGGTGATGGTTGAGGGACCTAGGGTGATTGTTGAGGGACCTGGGGTGATGGTTGAGGGATCTGGGGTGATGGTTGAGGGTCCTGGGGTGATGGTTGAGGGTCCTGGGGTGATGGTTGAGGGACCTGGGGTGATGGTTGAGGGTCCTGGGGTGATGGTTGAGGGACCTGGGGTGATGGTTGAGGGTCCTGGGGTGATGGTTGAGGGACCTGGGGTGATGGTTGAGGGTCCTGGGGTGATGGTTGAGGGACCTGGGGTGATGGTTGAGGGACCTGGGGTGATGGTTGAGGGACCTGGGGTGATGGTTGAGGGTCCTGGGGTGATGGTTGAGGGACCTGGGGTGATGGTTGAGGGACCTGGGGTGATGGTTGAGGGTCCTGGGGTGATGGTTGAGGGACCTGGGTGATGGTTGAGGGTCCTGGGGTGATGGTTGAGGGACCTGGGGTGATGGTTGAGGGTCCTGGGGTGATGGTTGAGGGTCCTGGGGTGATGGTTGAGGGACCTGGGGTGATGGTTGAGGGTCCTGGGGTGATGGTTGAGGGTCCTGGGGTGATGGTTGAGGGACCTGGGGTGATGGTTGAGGGACCTGGGGTGATGGTTGAGGGACCTGGGGTGATGGTTGAGGGACCTGGGGTGATGGTTGAGGGACCTGGGGTGATGGTTGAGGGACCTGGGGTGATGGTTGAGGGTCCTGGGGTGATGGTTGAGGGACCTGGGGTGATGGTTGAGGGACCTGGGGTGATGGTTGAGGGACCTGGGGTGATGGTTGAGGGACCTGGGGTGATGGTTGAGGGACCTGGGGTGATGGTTGAGGGACCTGGGGTGATGGTTGAGGGACCTGGGGTGATGGTTGAGGGTCCTGGGGTGATGGTTGAGGGACCTGGGGTGATGATTGAGGGTCCTGGGGTGATGGTTGAGGGACCTGAGATGATGGTTGAGGGTCCTGGGGTGATGGTTGAGGGACCTGGGGTGATGGTTGAGGGACCTGGGGTGATGGTTGAGGGTCCTGGGGTGATGGTTGAGGGTCATGTGGTGATGGTTGAGGGTCCTGGGGTGATGGTTGAGGAACCTGGGGTGATGGTTGAGGGACCTGGGGTGATGGTTGAGGGACCTGGGGTGATGGTTGAGGGTCCTGGGGTGATGGTTGAGGGACCTGGGGTGATGGTTGAGGGACCTGGGGTGATGGTTGAGGGACCTGGGGTGATGGTTGAGGGTCCTGGGGTGATGGTTGAGGGTCCTGGGGTGATGGTTGAGGGACCTGGGGTGATGGTTGAGGGACCTGGGGTGATGGTTGAGGGTCCTGGGGTGATGGTTGAGGGACCTGGGGTGATGGTTGAGGGACCTGGGGTGATGGTTGAGGGACCTGGGGTGATGGTTGAGGGTCCTGGGGTGATGGTTGAGGGACCTGGGGTGATGGTTGAGGGACCTGGGGTGATGGTTGAGGGACCTGGGGTGATGGTTGAGGGTCCTGGGGTGATGGTTGAGGGTCCTGGGGTGATGGTCGAGGGACCTGGAGGGTGCCACAACCATCTCCCCGACCTGGTCGTAGTGTGGCACTCTGGCTGGAGGCGGCCAGAGTTGAGAGGCAACACGCCTCACTTTCCCACAACCACATTTACTGACCAATTGTCTCTGCCGGCCAGCCGTTAGTCCCGTCCACAAGGACTTGTCGGAAGCCTGTAGCCAGGTGTGAGAGGATGGGATGGAGGAGCCAGGTGTGAGTGGCTGAGATGGAGGAGCCAGGTGTGAGAGGATGGGATGGAGGAGCCAGGTGTGAGAGGATGGGATGGAGGAGCCAGGTGTGAGTGGCTGGGATGGAGGAGCCAGGTGTGAGAGGCTGGGATGGAGGAGCCAGGTGTGAGTGGCTGAGATGGAGGAGCCAGGTGTGAGAGGCTGGGATGGAGGAGCCAAGTGTGAGTGGCTGAGATGGAGGAGCCAGGTGTGAGTGGCTGAGATGGAGGAGCCAGGTGTGAGTGGCTGGGATGGAGGAGCCAGGTGTGAGTGGCTGGGATGGAGGAGCCAGGTGTGAGTGGCTGAGATGGAGGAGCCAGGTGTGAGTGGCTGGGATGGAAGAGCCAGGTGTGAGTGGCTGGGATGGAGGAGCCAGGTGTGAGTGGCTGGGATGGAGGAGCCAGGTGTGAGTGGCTGGGATGGAGGAGCCAGGTGTGAGTGGCTGAGATGGAGGAGCTAGGTGTGAGTGGCTGAGATGGAGGAGCTAGGTGTGAGTGGCTGGGATGGAGGAGCTAGGTGTGAGTGGCTGGGATGGAGGAGCCGGGTGTGAGTGGCTGGGATGGAGGAGCCAGGTGTGAGTGGCTGGGATGGACGAGGCAGGTGTGAGAGGCTGAGATGGAGGAGCCAGGTGTGAGTGGCTGAGATGGAGGAGCTAGGTGTGAGTGGCTGGGATGGAGGAGCCGGGTGTGAGTGGCTGGGATGGAGGAGCCAGGTGTGAGTGGCTGGGATGGACGAGGCAGGTGTGAAAGGCTGAGATGGAGGAGCCAGGTGTGAGTGGCTGGGATGGAGGAGCCAGGTGTGAGAGGCTGGGATGGAGGAGCCAGGTGTGAGTGGCTGAGATGGAGGAGCTAGGTGTGAGTGGCTGGGATGGAGGAGCCGGGTGTGAGTGGCTGGGATGGAGGAGCCAGGTGTGAGAGGCTGGGATGGAGGAGCCAGGTGTGAGTGGCTGAGATGGAGGAGCCAGGTGTGAGTGGCTGGGATGGAGGAGCCAGGTGTGAGTGGCTGGGATGGAGGAGCCAGGTGTGAGAGGCTGGGATAGAGGAGCCAGGTGTGAGAGGCTGGGATGGAGGAGCCAGGTGTGATAGGCTGGGACGGAGTGGAACAGGTGAGCCTTACCGTGAAGGGGCCAGGTATGGGCGGCGAGATGGCCTAGCGGAGGCAGGTGTGGTGCAGTATACCACACCAGAGATCAGTACAGGTGTGCGGCAAGAACTAGTTTTCAGGAAGGTTCTGGCTACGAGCCACACGCCCATGATGGCATCATATTTCCATATTTCCCCCCATGAGCATCATGGTAGTGGTGGTTAAATATTCGCTACCTGGAACAAAGTTCTAAGTAGCACGGGCTATGGTGAGCCCGTAGTGATGTCATCATGGTAGCTGCGTGCTTGTCAAGGGCTGTTCGGGTCGAGGAGCGCATGACAGTGTCTGAGAAGAGTTCACGACCCGCCATACCTGTGTCAACAGCTCTGCGAAGACCTTGAATATTCAATGACCATTGGGGGATAAAAGGAAGGTGTTAGAGAGGGCGAGACAGATCAGTGGCCCCGCTCGCTGTGGGTTTGTCGTTGTAGGAAGTGATCCTGTCTTGGTAAGCCTCTGTAAGGTGGGTTAGTTGCTCAACGACGTTGCTTTGGTGGTGGGGGAAGCTGTTCGCTACTGAAAGTCATAAAGTAGCAGCTCTGTGCACTGTGCTCTGTGCTCTGTTCTCTCTCTCTCTCTCTCTCTCTCTCTCTCTCTCTCTCTCTCTCTCTCTCTCTCTCTCTCTCTCTCTCTCTCTCTCTCTCTCTCTCTCTCTCTCTCTCTCTCTCTCTCTCTCACTCTCACTCTCTCTCTCGCTCTGGAGCCAAATTCACGAAGCAGTTACGCAAGTACTTACGAACGTGTACTCCTTTCCTCAATCTTTGACGGCTTTGGTTACATTTATTAAACAGTTTACAAGCACGAAAACGTCCCAATCAACTGTTGTTATAAACAGCCTCCTGGTGCTTCGGAGCTCATTAACTATTTAAGTATTATAAACAAAGCCGCCGCTAAAGATTGAGAAAAGATGTACAGGTTGGTAAGTGCTTGCGTAACTGCTTCGTGAATCTGGCCCCTGGCTGCTTTCAAAGTTACTTGTAATTGTCTCATGCTCGTAATGTTATGATACAAGTGGCAAGATTATATGTGTTGCCGCTCTGACGTTAAACCTCACTTCGTCCTTACAATGTCTCAGCTTTCAAACTGTAAGCTAAATGTTACTCACTTTATCCCTAATATGTAAGTGTGTGATTTAGATTGCTGTACACCTGTTACGTCCAGCCAGTGTTGTACACCTGTTAAGTCCAGCCAGTGTTGTACACCTGTTAAGTTCAGCCAGTGTTGTACACCTGTTAAGTCCAGCCAGTGTTGTACACCTGTTAAGTCCAGCCAGTGTTGTACACCTGTTAAGTCCAGCCAGTGTTGTACACCTGTTAAGTCCAGCCAGTGTTGTACACCTGTTACGTCCAGCCAGTGTTGTACACCTGTTAAGTCCAGCCAGTGTTATACACCTGTTAAGTCCAGCCAGTGTTGTACACCTGTTAAGTTCAGCCAGTGTTGTACACCTGTTAAGTCCAGCCAGTGTTGTACACCTGTTAAGTCCAGCCAGTGTTGTACACCTGTTAAGTTCAGCCAGTGTTGTACACCTGTTAAGTCCAGCCAATGTTATACACCTATTAAGTCCAGCCAGTGGTATACACCTGTTAAGTCCAACCAGTGTTGTAAGGATGTGCACAAGTTATTTCGAGTAAAGTTTCTGACGCTAATAACGATATCCATTTATAATTACTTATTATGTAATTAATGTACTGTAATTTTTATGTAACCATCCCAAATATAATTGTCCAACCATTTATGGATAAAGTCTTTGACTGTGGGGTCCAGCTTGGAGTGACTGTTGCTGCCCTTGTAACGCGAGTGGCTCCTGGCGGGTTTAACTGTACCACTTTTGGACAGGGATGCTGGACAGCGTGTAAATAAGGACATGAAAGAGGCCGTCCAAGACAACTGTTTACTAAGACTCTTAATGCACTGTCCCAATTTTGGACAGGGATGCTGGACAGGTTGTAAATAAGGACAAGATGAAGGGATGCTCTCCGAGACTTTGTTTACATCTCTGGGGGAGCTATTGTGCCGCCTGGTTATCTTGGAGTGTATAGTGGCCTTCGCAACAAAGACATGGCGCTGGGATTTTCAATAGATGTTTGACATGAGCCGCAATTGTTTCCCAGTGATTGTTATATTTCCTGTAACAGTTGTCCTCCCAATTGAAATATCTCACAAACTTATCCTAACGGTAGGGATGCCTCAACAAGTTATCTTAACAGTGGGGATACCTCACACACTTATCCTAACGGTAGGGATGCCTCACAAAGTTATCTTAAGAGTGGAGATACCTCACAAACTTATCGTAACGGTAGGGATGCCTCACAAAGTTATCTTAACAGTGGAGATACCTCACAAACTTATCCTAACGGTAGGGATGCCTCACAAAGTTATCTAAACAGTGGGCATACCTCACAAACTTATCCTAACGGTATCCTATCGAATTTGCTAGAGCCTGCTGGGCTCAAGCTTCACATTTAAAACTGTGTATGGAGTCTGCCTCCACCACATCACCGCTGAAGCACCTGTGATGTTTACAAACAGGTGTTTACGAGCACCTGTGAGCGCCGCCAGGGGGCAGTAGGGCTGCAAGGCTGCTCACACAACATTAAAATACCTTCCTCTGCATAAGCCATATCCGCCGTCTGGCAGTTTTAGTTGTGTTCAAAGTTAACGGCAAGACGACTTTCCATTTTGCAAAAACGTCCATTCCATGTCATGTTTATTTTATTTATTTATATACAAGAAGGTACATTGGGTTTGTGAGAATACATAGCATAGTACAGTACTTACAATCTTGTAAAGCCACTAGTACGCGCAGAGTTTCGGGCAGGTCCTTAATCTAACAGATAATTTAAAGTAGGTAAATTCTAGCAGAATTAATAAAATGATAACAGATACATTGCAAGAAAAAAAGGATCATTCCATGGTCTGCAATAAGGATCATTCCATGGTCTGCAATAAGGATCATTCCATGGTCTGCAATAAGGATCATTCCATGGTCTGCAATAAGGATCATTCCATGGTCTGCAATAAGGATCATTCCATGGTCTGCAATAAGGATCATTCCATGGTCTGCAATAAGGATCATTCCATGGTCTGCAATAAGGATCATTCCATGGTCTGCAATAAGGATCATTCCATGGTCTGCAATAAGGATCATTCCATGGTCTGCAATAAGGATCATTCCATGGTCTGCAATAGGATCATTCCATGGTCTGCAATAAGGATCATTCCATGGTCTGCAATAGGATCATTCCATGGTCTGCAATAAGGATCATTCCATGGTCTGCAATAAGGATCATTCCATGGTCTGCAATAAGGATCATTCCATGGTCTGCAATAAGGATCATTCCATGGTCTGCAATAAGGATCATTCCATGGTCTGCAATAAGGATAATTCCATGGTCTGCAATAAGGATCATTCCATGGTCTGCAATAAGGATCATTCCATGGTCTGCAATAAGGATCATTCCATGGTCTGCAATAAGGATCATTCCATGGTCTGCAATAAGGATCATTCCATGGTCTGCAATAAGGATCATTCCATGGTCTGCAATAAGGATCATTCCATGGTCTGCAATAAGGATCATTCCATGGTCTGCAATAAGGATCATTCCATGGTCTGCAATAGGATCATTCCATGGTCTGCAATAAGGATCATTCCATGGTCTGCAATAAGGATCATTCCATGGTCTGCAATGTGAACCGTTGAAAAGCCTTGAATTCTTATGTCTAAAGAAGTGTTACCTCTAAGCGTATAGATTGTACTGTTACTTTACACCTGGTTAATGTTGCACACAGCTCTCATCCCTCCCTCCCCCCTGGTCTTGCAAGGTACTCTTTCCGTGCGTAGATTTAGAACCAGTTCTTCGAAGATTCTGTGTATCAGTGTCACTGATGGCTCTGTGTATCAGTGTCACTGATGGCTCTGTGTATCAGTGTCACTGATGGCTCTGTGTATCAGTGTCACTGATGGCTCTGTGTATCAGTGTCACTGATGGCTCTGTGTATCAGTGTCACTGATGGCTCTGTGTATCAGTGTCACTGATGGCTCTGTGTATCAGTGTCACTGATGGCTCTGTGTATCAGTGTCACTGATGGCTCTGTGTATCAGTGTCACTGATGGCTCTGTGTATCAGTGTCACTGATGGCTCTGTGTATCAGTGTCACTGATGGCTCTGTGTATCAGTGTCTTGGAGTTCTCCCGAAGCTTTAAACTCTACCTCCAAAGTTACCATTTCTGTACTCATCCTGTGTAATGGTTGTGTGGAGAGACGCAGCACCATCATGGGAGGAAGAGTAAGCGGGAGAGGAGAGAGCAGACAGACAGACGGACATAAACACTCTCACCAACACTGACAGATGCCAGCTGTCCACAGCTTACTGCTGTGTGTGTGTGTGTGAGAGCTGCCACTTCTGATGACCCTCTCTCAGCTCAAGCTTCTCATTCGTAAACATTTACCGAAGTTACATACATGTTTCCACGCTCGAAGCATCAATATATATAGCCCACGGGCCGCGGGATATTTAATAATTGACATTAATTTAACCAGAGCCCCAAACTAATGATTATTCACGTATAAATTGACCTCGTGTGTATTTTGACCCAATTACTCCGGAATTCCCGGTACAATGACAGGCTGAGCCACGCTGCCAGCGGCCAGGATGTGGGCGACCCGCTTCCTGCCGCCACCTCCACCACCCGTACACGCTCAAGTTTATCTGTGGTTGATGCACCGAGTCCTTGTAATGTTGGGCCAGGCTTGTCTTGTCATGGTCTGATCGGTGAGGCTGTTGTTGCTTGGGTCGGGCCACAGACACACTTATCCATTACACTCCGGCTGGTGCAGCGTTTCCGGCAGGAAAGTGTTCCTTGAAGGCAGGGGTCCCTCCTTCCTCTAATATAAACCTGTGGGTGTTTATACTCTCCTCCAAAAATATAACCTGGAGTTTTACTCCAGCAGTTCTACTCCTCAAAATGTACATAAACCTCCAAAGGATATCTGATCAACCAGGCTGTGATTCATACGTCAGGTTGCGAGCAGCCGTGTCCAACAGCATAGTTGACCAGTCCAGCAACCAGGAGGCCTGGTCGACGACCGGGCCGCGGGGACGCTAAGCCCCGGAAGCACCTCAACATAACCTCAAGGTAAGGTAAGGCGTTCGCTTTTGTTCCGGCAATATTTCTTATAATTTTTGGGAGGATATTGACGACCCGTAAAACGTTGTTGTTCATAGTGTTCTCTGTGCCTATGGCACCTCCTCTCTTCACTGGGACCTCTTCTGCATTTCCTTCCGTACCTTTCGCTCCAGTATGTTGTTATTCTGCTGTGCAAATTTGGGACCTGGCCCTCCAGTATCTTCCATGTATGTATAAATATTATGATACTTCTCCCGTCCCCTTTCCAGAGAGTATATTTTGAGAGCTTTGAGACATCCCAATAATTCAGGTGTTTTATGGTGTCTATGCGTGCCGTATATGTTCTCTGTATGCCTCTATTTCAGCCATCTCTGCCGCTCTGTAAGGGGAGATGAGTAGCGAGGGTAGAGTACTCAAGGCGGGAGAGCATGCGGCCAGATCTACCTGCCAGTTACCCGCCAGAAACTGTGTGTACTGGAACAACTTGTTGCAAGAGAGGAAGCGCATGTGCACGATGATAACCGGCAAGACCCACACGTCGTGGCGAGAGCGGCAATAGAGGTGATCGAAGCCAGGAGCTGCACACGTCTCCACCACGACCTGTCGTGCTACCCCCGTATCTAGGGTGACGGGGGGGGGGGTGGAGGGGGATGAGGACAAGGCTGCCAGGAGGGAGGGAGGGAGATTACGTGAGGTAGGTAAGTGAGGTAGGAACCCGCCAAACACACACCGAAACTACGACGTTGGTACAACGTTCGAACAAGTTTTAACACTTCCTAACCAGTTATAACAACCAACATAGCAAGTTGTAACAACGTTCTAATACGTCATAAACACGTTACGCCAAGATGTAACAACTTTATTACAAGTTGTAACAAGCCGAAAATTGAGACAGTTACGGTTTGTGTTTCCAGGGAAGGGCAGGAGAGGGTAGATACGTAGAAGGAAGACCGGCAGCAAATGCCACACGTCGTTCTTGTGGTCGCCGGTCGTCCTCGTCGTCTCCAACACGTCCTCGTCCTGGTCGTCTCCAGGACACCTCCGTGACGTGCATCATTAATTTGCATACCATAATTAAACCTTGACTGATGAATAATCACAAACGCTGACGGATCGTATAGTGGAGGACTCGCGTGTTGCCTGAAGCTGAGGTGATGGTGGTGGTGGTGGTGGTGGTGGTGGTGGTGGTGGTGGTGGTAGGGATGGTGGTGGTAGGGATGGTGGTGATGGTGATGGTGGTAGTGGGGATGATAATGGTGGTAGTGGGGATGATGGTGGTGGTAGGGATGGTGATGGTGGTGATGGTGATGGTTGTGGGGGTAACAATGGAGTCGCAAGTAAACACAGAGATGCACGGACCAAATTTTCCTTACAATTTACTTATCAACATTCAGCAAGTTGCAAGATGTGAGATGAGTGCCAAGTTGCCACACTGGTGCGTGCGTCCAGACAGAACACTTCCTCGGTATTCACAAACACTGAGCGTAAGTTGGCTTCTAAACCCAAGCATTGGCCTCCAGGACAAGTGACTGGACCTTCAGTGTTCATCTTGATGGCCTTACCTTACCTTGAGGTTGCCTTTCGGGGCTTAGCGTCCCCGCGGCCCGGTCCTCGACCAGGCCTCCTCGTTGCTGGACTAGTCGACCAGGCGGTTGGACGCGGCTGCTCGCAGCCTGACGTAACACAGGTATCACAGCCTGGTTGATCAGGTATCCTTTGGAGGTGCTTATCCAGTTCTCTCTTGAACACTGTGAGGGGTCGGCCAGTTATGCCTCTTATGTGTAGTGGAAGCGTGTTGAACAGTCTCGGGCCTCTGATGTTGATAGAGTTCTCTCTCAGAGTACCTGTTGCACCTCTGCTTTTCAACGGGGGTATTCTGCACATCCTGCCATGTCTTCTGGTCTCATGTGATGTTATTTCTGTGTGCAGGTTTGGGACCAGCCCCTCTACTATTTTCCACGTGTAAATTATTATGTATCTCTCCCGCCTGCGCTCAACAGAATACAGATTTAGGCTCTTTAGTCGGTTCCAATAGTTTAGATGTTTTACTGAGTGGATTCTAGCAGTAAAGGATCTCTGCACGCTCTCCAGGTCAGCAATTTCTCCAGCTTTGAAAGGGGCTGTCATTGTGCTCTGAGATGAACTACACCTAGGATTATTATCCTTCAAGTGAACAAGAGCTGAGGTAAACTACACCTAACATAACTATAACTACACCTGAAAAGAACTACACCGGAACCTTCACGTACACAAGAAGCAACTTCTTGTCTGCCATTCTGAAAAGTTCACAAAACAACAACAAACGATCATTTCCGAATAGGAACCAAATATACTGAACTTACGCAGGACAGAGAAGCCCCCACTCTAACAACCACCTAACAACCACCTGACAACCACCTGACAACCACCTGACAACCACTCTAACAACCACCTAACAACCACCTGACAACCACCTGACAACCACCTGACAACCACTCTAACAACCACCTAACAACCACCTGACAACCACCTAACAACCACCTGACAACCACCTAACAACCACCTAACAACCACCTAACAACCACTCTAACAACCACCTGACAACCACTCTAACAACCACCTAACAACCACTCTTAACAACCACTTCGGCAGAGTTCCATCAGAGTCCATCACGACGCTGCAGAGTCAATTAAAAGGATAAATGGCGGTGGGCGGCCCCGACGCGTCTGCGCCCTCTGCGCGCGGGATCTGCCGTCTGCCGGAGGTGGCAGACTGAGCTACTGCAGGCGCGGACAAGTCAAATAAACTCAGAAGTGAAGTTCCTGAAGCAGAATGGGTTAGGTTAGTCTAGCTTAGGATAAAACTAAGTTAACTTGATAGAATCCACCAAGTATAGGAGCCGGTGTATTACCGGCTGAGTTGGTATATAATCTATGATCACAATGGATCATGGATTGAATACGAACAGCAGAACTGGCCACATGCGAGTCTGTGACGTTGGGAAATACCTCTTCTGCATAAAAAAACTACTTAGACTGCCTCAAAGCCTTCAGGATGACACTATA